CAATGACCTCTGCTAATTCCCTCAGCACTCTGGGGTGGAGATCGTCAGGACCAGCTGATTTAAATACGTCCAGTCCCTCCAGAAGTTCCCTGACTAGATCCTCACTGACCCTAGGCCTGGGTGCACCTCCCCTGCGGCCGAAGGGAGCCCCGGTGGGCGGGCTGATCCGGTCCCTGCTCAGGAAAATGAAGGCAAAGAAATTGTTAAATAGGTTAGCCTTGTCGTCTGGTGTGACAACCAGATTTTCTAGCATGTCTTGCAGAGGCCCCAGGTTACCCGGTACCTTCTTTTTGCCCCCCATGTATTTAAAAAAAGGGGTTTCTTGTTGTCCTTGATCCGGGTAGCTAGTCCCAGTCCCATCTCCGCCTTGGCCTTCCTAACCGCCCCCCTGCAGCCCTGAGCAACCGAGGTACAGTCCTCCCTGGTGACGGCTCCTCCCTTCCATTGGGTGTATGCCTCCCTTTTAGCTAGGAGATGTTTCCATATGCTTTTGGTGAGCCATGGGGGCTTTTGCTAGTAGTAAAGTAAATGTGTCCAAAATCCTCTGGAAATTGCTGATTGAACCAAAAGGCTTCTATTAGTATTGTGTATAGAGTGTGACTAATGCTAAAATTTAGAGATTTTTTTCTGAGTAAACTTTGCTTCTCTCCTTGGGCAAGTATCAGCAGTGAAGTGCTATTGAAAGAAATTTGGTTTGTGTAGATATGCACACCACAACCTAGATAGCATCTGAGCTCTTCCTTTAGAGGAGAAATTAAACTCACACTAATAACTTCGGAGAGCACGGTATAATCCTTGATCAAGCTGGTGAGCACTTTTTCCTGCCAACAGTTCCACTGATTTCCATATGATTACTCATATGCAAAAATATCACAAAACAGAGTCCTCTGACAGTGTGCTACTGCTGTTTTGTTCCATGTAGATTATTTATAAAACTTACACAAGTGGCTTATCTCTTTCTTTCTATTTTTTTAAGCCAAAGATGTAACTTACATCTGCCCTTTCACTGGAGCTATTAGAGGAACCCTGACGGTTACAAATTACCGGCTGTATTTCAAAAGCATGGAAAGGGTAAGCTTTGTAAGCATTCACTTTCCTTTTTCCGTCATATGTATAACTATGTCCAGTGCTGTTCCCTAAGCCCTTCATTAGGAATGTGCATAAGCAGTTGATTATAGGTCTTAATGTGTGTTGTGTTTTTTATTTTCTCCCTTTTTAACTAACAAATTTCACCTGCCTTTAGGACCCTCCATTTGTCCTGGATGCTTCTTTAGGTGTCATCAACCGAGTAGAGAAAATTGGAGGTGCTTCCAGCCGTGGGGAGAATTCTTATGGACTGGAGATAGTATGCAAGGTAGAGTGTATATGCGGAGGTGGGGTGGGGATGGCTCTTCTTTTAAAGAATGTGTTCCTATAAAATGAAATGAAAACTACCTGGTTGTAAATCACATAATCTACCTGTGACTTACCACACAAAGATTTTTAAAATTCAGTTTCATGCATTGCACAACAGCACCACTAGAGCTGAGAACCACAAAGCTTCAGGTTTTTTCTTGTCTCAGAGTGGTTTCTTACTGTCCCTCCACATGTGAGTGGAGTCTGACGTGCTTCCCATGAATTCTCCTTGACAAGAGGTGCTGTATTTACAGCACGTTGGAGCAGGCTTGATTAATCAAGTCTGCTGGAGCATGGTAATTGCAGCGCTTCAGCAGACTCCAGTGTCACATGTATCAGCATCCCCATGCTGAAAAATGGTGGCGGGGGGACTTTAACCCAAAGCTTGTTCGATGAGCTTTAGTTAAAGCACCCCCACTGCCCTTTTTCAGCACGGGGACACTGATATATGTGCTGGTCCAGGCGCTTTATTAGAACAGGTCTCGGAACCACTCTAATTAAAGTGCTCCCCCGCACTCCCAGAGCAAGTGCCCAGTGTCCTCTGAAATGTCCTTTGACTGAGAAATAGGACCCAAATTTAATTTTATGTTATATTTTCTTTTGCTGTTACTCTCCTTATTATCTTTTAAATTTGAATCCCCACTCCTGAAAAAGGAGCATTCCTATTCATGAGCTTTATAGTTTGGCCATTATTTTGCATCAATGATTGTAAGCTTTTAGATGTTTTACTAAAAATATTTTATTTTTGGGTAGGTATTTCTGCCCTTCTGGGTTAAATGATGCTATATGTCCTCAACTTGTTTCTGAATCCTGATTTGTGTAGGAAGACAAACAATGCAAACTTTACAGAGGTAGCTCTTCCACAGAAACTGATCAGAGTATATAAAATAGACTACAGGTTGTTCAGTTTGTTTTCCTGGGATGTCAGAGTCATTGTATACATTCAAGATGCATCTGAGGTGATCACAGTGATAATGATGTTTTGTTCAACTTTTCCAGGATATTCGAAACCTACGGTTTGCTCATAAACCGGAGGGACGAACTAGACGGTCCATATTTGAGAACCTAATGAAATATGCCTTTCCGGTATCCAATAATTTGGTAGGCTATTTTTTCCTTATTTTACTGGAAAACGCAAAATGTTTGTATAGCTTCATGTGAAAGTATTCATATAGTTCACTATTTTAGTTGTGTGATTTGAAGGTTGCATGTGTGAGGAGGACACATGCTCACTTTAAATAATTCCAGTGGATAAAATACTGGTAGCAATTAATTCTTCTGGCAGGAATCTGGGGAATGATGAATTGAACGAGGAAATCCAATATAATTGAGAGGTGTAGCCTGCAACAATAGGAAGCAATACAGCTGAAATGCCAATAAGGAAAAAAAACAAAGTTGTGAATGAAGAGCTTGGCATGACTAAGTCACCAACTAGTAAGTAGTAGTGAGTAACTTGTATTAAATTATGTCATAAGCAGGGATCCTGGTTTTCTCTGATTAAAAAAATAAATAAATAATACCCCCCCCCCATTTTTCAGATATAAAAAAGTAACCTCAAATCCACATTTTTTAATAACTAAAATGAAATACCACATATATATATATGGTGTTTCATTTATATCTGAAAAATGGGGATTTTTTTCATCAGCGAAAACCAGGATCCCTGGTCATAAGAACAGAAGAGTAAATAAGGGGGTAGGACGACATACTAACCTGAACAGAACAGGCATTTTCTTAATTTGGGGAAATGTTGAGGGAAGTGAAGGCGTTAATGGCTCCAAGTTCTGGCCACATTTCCACCATGCTTTCCATAGCAATCAGCTGACACGAATATGCTGTAAATGTTAGTTAACAAGTGTTCCTACAAGTATGTAGCCTATCAGAAATGTGTTCTGTGCTCTGTGTGGGGTTTGCTAGATTAGGTAAAATTTACATTGATGGAAAAGGTGTAGCATCAAGGGTATTTAAAGGGCGTTCTTGGGAACTTGAATCGGGGAAGAAAACATCATAATGTGAGATCTGCTCTCACTTTTGTATGAGTACTTTGAATGGTGGTCATTTTGTTATTGCTTCCCGTGCCTTAGATCACAGCTATCTGCTTCACTTAGGCATTTAAATAAAGATATGCTATATTATTAGTCTCATGTGCCTGTCTCAGGGCTCCTTCATTCAATGTGAGCTTGTCTAGACAGCCAGGGGTGATCCCTATAAGGTACTGTGTGTTAAATAACTCTAATTAACCTTAATAGTCTAAATACTAAAAAGAAACCCCCGCAGTAATATGGTGGTGTTGCTTGAGAAGCTGGTTGAAAGTATCCTAATTGTCTTTACTATAGAAGTGGAATGCTCCTGCTACATAAAATTTGCATTTAGAATAATAAATGTTTTTTGTCCATGTGATATAGTAGTTAATAGATTAGTGAGACAAGGGAAATGGAGGAATGTACACTGGTGTTTTAATTACTCTGTACAATGAAAGTGTCAGTATCTTTACAAAGCTTTAGAGAAAAAGTAGTGCAATGGAAACAAAAGAGGAGTCACGAGTTATTACTTGGATGTCAAATAACATGGGACGTGAGCTCCAAGTATTTAATGGCAAATGTTTTCTCTTTCTCTCAGCCCCTTTTTGCATTTGAATACAACGAGGTGTTTCCAGAAAATGGATGGAAGGTATTTGACCCTGTTTTGGAGTACAAAAGACAGGTGGGTACTTGTGTTACAACCTTGCTCATATTTTTTATTCTACAGCAATTCAGTCCTATGGCAGAATATAATTTACAGATTGTTTGTAATGAAGAATAACCCTACACAAAATGCAGGATCAGGACATTGGTTGACATATTTCAGTAACTGGCAATGTTGATGCAGCTCCACAAGTAATAACAACCGCTTAAGCATTAGTGTAGACAGATTTAGGTTGCATATAAGCAGTTTTTCATGATAAGGTGGATAAAACCTAATGCCCTCTAAATGATCAGCTGTGTTTTTACAAAGAGAATACTTTTACTGTAAAACCCTAGCACAGAGCAAGCAGCCTTGAGGAAATGTTGGCTTACCGTGGCTGTAGCTGTTCAACCATAAACCCGTAATCCAGCCAGCTACATTACAATTTACCTCATCTAGAATAGGATTTACCACAAGATAGTCTAACAAAATAGATGTTGTTGACTAGATTGTTTAAAAAAAAAATCCCTAATGTAGACAGTCTAATTCTGCGTCTTCACTGCAAAAAGGTGTGTGTTTTTATATGGAGATCTCTTGATGTACAATCCTAGTAGAGACAAAACAGAAGTAGTGAACTAGTTGAGGTCAACCCTCTCTCTCACTTTGGTTTGACCACAACTAGTTATGTCGAGATAAAAATGATAACGTCTTGTCTCCACTAAGATTTTACACCAACATAACTATTTCACGTTATCTACATTGACTGTGGAAACGCACCTTTTTTTTTTTTTTTTTTTTTTTTTT